AAAAAAAAAAAAAAAAAACTCTCAAAACCAAACAAAACACTGGTGTGTATGTATACTTTAGATTTGAGAACTATAAGTCATAATTGATTGAACTTAGTCAGTTTTTAGTGAATTGGGTCTGGGAAATCCAAATAAGACCAGGAATCATTGAGATATGAGGAAATAGAGATAGTAAATACAGACTACTCCTTGAAGGAGTTTGACTGTGAACAAGGTGTACAGTTGTCCCATGCTGTCCATAGATACATATCCTAAGACCCCCATCCCCAGTGGATACCTGAAACTGGAGAGTACTGAACCCCATATATGCAATTTTTTCCTACATACCTATACTTTTCACTAATGGAAACACTTCATACTTTGTCTTATATATCTGAATTTCCAGTATTACTGCTGGAAATGTTCATGCACTTTTGAGTCATTAAGTAAAATAAGGGTTCTTTGAACAGAAACACTGCCATACTGCACAATTGCTGTTAAACCATGAGCTGGCAAACAGATGATTCAGATCCTGTTCAGGATGGAGCTGGAGTGTGCTATTTAAAATGTATCAACTTTTTTTTTTTCTGAAATTTAATGTGTGGACCATGATTAACTCTAGGTAACTGAAACCTATAAAGCAAGCTGTAGATAAACAGGGATTATTTATATTTGTGGTTTGGGGAGTTATTTGGGAGAGGCTGACTGCTAGGTTAGTTGAAAGGAATTAAACTGGATGAGAAGGCCATTGAAAGCAGGTCTAGGATTAGAGTGAGCCTAGAGAGGCCCCTTAGGGCACTCACCTTCAGGTAGTGACTGCCCCTAAATTTTGGACCATGAGGATCTTATCTGGCCACTTAGTCCCTGCCCTGAGGCTAAGATCAAAGGCTCAGAGCAGACTGAAGTAGAGAAGAATCAGAATATGGGAATAGGATGTACTTTTGTCAAAACTAGAACCTAAAGTTTTTTGATACTTTGAGGTAGAGAAACCTGAGGAAGTTTGCATCTCAAGATGTCTAAGACATACTTGGAATAGAAATAAGTTAATTATCACTTGAACATGTGAGTTGACCAAGTAGTTTAGAGGAGTACTGACGCAGGAGAGCTGGGTAATTGGACCAAACACCCATGCTGGTTCTTGTCATACAGAGAGGAAAGTGGAGTTTAGGAAAAGAAAAACTGCTTCCAATACAATGGAAGGTGTCCTGAATGGATTGCTGAAGGGTAGCTAGAGACAGATGTTTGTTTTTTTTTTTTTTTTTAGAGAGGTTTTTCGCTATAGAGCGCCAGACAAAAGACAGAAAGTGAGAAATCACCCCCCGGGGGGGATGATCACGACACAATCCCTTCTCCATTCTCCTCTCGGGATCTTGGGCACGCATGCACACGCGCCCAGTGTGAGTTTTAAGCCACCGCGTCCAGGACAGGAACCGCGGTCGACTACGTGGGAGTCCAGCGACAAAGCCATTACACTAACTTGCTGGTTCCCAAGATGATGGTTTTTTTTTTTTTTTAATCTAGCAGTCGGAGCAATGGGCTGGCTCTCTGACAAGGAGGTGGGCTTTAGAAAATAGTCATATGGTAGGTAGTCTGAGTGATTTATTACCCTATTCTTTGTGGCGTCAGCAGACCATAGTATTCTGTACATTGTGTTAAAATAAAGTCATTAAATAGAAACTGTTGCCCTTAGCTATAATTGCTTTGAGTACCAGTGTTGCCAGATTTTGACTGAATACTTAGCCTTACCCTTGTCTGTGTTCTCAATATCTCTATCTCTTGTCTTATTAGCAAGCAGTCATAAATTCTTTAGAGACATGTAAAAGGGGTGTATATTGTATATTAACCAGACCATAGATGAAGAATAGAGACTTCATTAAAAAGAAAATACGGTGATTTCCTTTCTGGCCCTTACCCTATCTACTTGTAAGTGCATTGAGCTCCCATCTCAATATTATGAAGATCTTAGATCTCTTGGATTTTGTTTGTTTGTTTGTTTGTTTGTTTTTGCCATAGGGCACGTGTGCTTGCCAGAAAGACAGAGAGAGACAGAGACAGAAAGTGAGAAATCACTCCCCGGGGGGATAGCCACACCACAATCCCTTTTCCTCCTAGATTCTCCTCTTGGGATCTTGAGCACACAGGCACATGTGCCCAGCTTGAGTTTAAGCCAGTGGGTCTGGGACTCGAACTGTGGCCGACTTCATGGGAGTCCAGTGACATAGCCATTACGCCAACTGTGGTCCCTCTTGGATCTTTTTAGTTCGTACTTTTTATTTCAAAAAATTTTGAACAGAAAAGTTGAAAAAATAATACAGTGAACATAGATTGATCAGTTCTTAACATTGTAGCATGCTTGCTTTATCTCTATATTTATATAGTATATTTAGATATGTATGTGTGTATTCATATATATATTAGATATATTAGGTAATTGAGAAAGTCATCATGTGTTTTTCTTTTTTTGAGAGAAAGATTTTGTTTGTTTGTTTGTTTTTGCTTTAGGGTGTGTGCAGTTACTGGAGAGACAGACAGAAAGCGAGAAGTCATCCCCCAGGGGGTTGGTCATACCACAGTCCCTTCTCCTTTCTCCTCTCAGGATTTGGGGAATAACCATTATCAATTAATAGTGATTTCCTAGTTATTTTTTAAAGTGGTTGAATCAATTTATGCTTCTACTAGTTTATCAAAGTTCCTTCTTCTGTATATGCTTGGTTTTCTTGTTCTTTGTTTTCATCCATTCCAGAGTGTTTCTTTTGTACTTCGAATTTGCATTTTCCTACACTTTTTCATATATTTGTTTTGGTTCCTATCCAGTCTTATAGCTTGTATTTATGTTTGGTTTTCGTTTTCTTCTTGATTTGTAAGAATTTTCTTATATTTTACATTTGACTCAACACTGATATGAATTACAGTATTTCTCTTAACTCTGTGTCTTTTCATCTTTTTTAGTTTTTGCTATAGGGTACGTATAATTGATGGAGAGAAACAGAGAAAGAGAAGAGAGAAATCACCCCCCACCCAAACTCAGGGGATGACCATACCACAATCCCTTCTCTATTCTTTTTTTGGATTTAGGGCATGCACACATGCCTGGTGTATTTTCCAAGCTGTCAGGTCCTAGACTCAAACCATGAATTCAGCCATGTGGAATCCAGTGCCTTAACTACCAAGCCACCTGCAGGCCTCCAAATGCATTTTTTTTCCTCTTTTATATTCATGATAGAATGTATGTGTGCACCCATGAAAGTGAATGAACAAGAGAGAGAGAGAAAGGGAGAGAAAATCGCCCTCCACCAAAACTGGCCACACTGGGATACTTTCACTAGTTCTCCAGCCCTTCGGCTCCTGGGCTCTAGTACAAGTACCTGGTATGTTTCAGGTCCCTTATTCAAACTGGGATCATCAGGTGGGAATGAGCATATTTGAGGAGTATGTCACCTCTGTACCATGGAGCTGGCCTATGAATACATGGCTTTTAGTTGGAGAAATTTTTCAATGATTATTTCTTTCCTGAGTTCTTTTCCACTTTCTCTACTCCTGTATTTCTTTAACTATGATTAAGTAGCTGCTGAGTATTCTAGTTTTAATTTGTGATACTCTTTTTTTTTGGAGAGATTTTCGCTATAGGGCACATGTGCTCGCCAGACAGACAGAGACATAGAGACAGAAACCGAGAAATCACCCCCCCAGGGGGGATGGTCACGCCACTTTCCCTTCTCTTCTTGGGATCTTGGGCACACACGCACACGCGCCTGGCGTGAGTTTTAAGCCACCGGGTCCGGGAAGCAAACCATGGTCGACCATGGGATTCCAGCAACATAGCCATTACGCTAACTGCTGGTTCCCAAGTAAATGCTCTTAATTTTAATTTTCTATGACCTTGTTTTTCTTTAATTTAGTAAGCTTTTCTTAAATGTCTTTAATTATCTGACTCTGCTACCATTCTTGCCAATTTATAAAAATGCAGTAAGTTCTTTAGTGTGCTTTTTCTTTTCTGTTTTCTTTATCTCTATAAGGCTCCATCTCTGTTGTTTAGTTATACAGTTTTTTGAGAAGGAGTAGGTATAAATATGTATATGATATTATCTTAACTAGAACATATATGTTTTTAAGCATTGTTATGCATTCATTTGAGTATTTCTCTGGGACAGATTTTTTTTTTTTAAGGGATTTTTTGTTTGTTTGTTTATTTTGACTGTTGGCCCATTTTTTTTTTTTAAGGGATTTTTTGTTTGTTGGGCACATGTGCTTGCCAAAGAGGGGATGGTCACACCACAGTCTCTTCTCCTCCATTCTCCTCTTGGGATTTTGGGCACCCATGCACATGTGTCCAGCATGAGTTTCAAGCCTCTTAATCCAGGACTCAAACTGTGGTCAGCCATGTGAGTGTTTAGCACCTTAACCAGTATGGCACCTGTGGGCCCCTCTCTGTGACTGATTAGGAGAAATGTAATTGCTGGGGTAAGGGTTTTGGACATCTTTATTTTTACCTTTTTTTTTTTTTTTTTCAGTTAAAGATAGGGACTCTCTTTCTCTTCCTGTGTCAGTCTCCCAAGTAGCTAGGACTGCAGACATGCACCATTATGCTCAGCATTTTGACAAATACTGAACAAAGTATACTTTTTAATCAATTTTACTTAACAAATTGTGAGCAAATAGTAATGAACATTTTGTTTTCTGCATTTTATCTGCAGGTTTCAAAAACTTTTAACAAACAAGTGACTCATGTTATATTCAAAGATGGGTACCAGAGCACTTGGAACAAAGCTCAGAAAAAAGGGGTAAAACTTGTCTCAGTGCTATGGGTTGAAAAGTAAGTAGTTTTTCTCTTGTTTCCTTAACTGTCTAAAGTTGGTAAGGTGTGGAAATGTTTTATGTGGATTACAGAACAAGATAAAGTTTAATTTCCATATTTTTTCTGCTTATTGGGCGAATAATGTAACATCCTCAAGCTTCAGTGCATGCCCTAAATCCAAAACATGGATATAATTTGATACTTAATTTTACCTACAGGGAAGATCAGTGCAAAGATCCTGAGATTGGAGGAGGGGGTGGGTGATGATTGGTATATTCAAGAAACAAGGAAGAATGTATTAGATTGTCCTAGATCAGGTTGCAGTAACAAAATATCACAGACCATGTAACTTAAACAACAGGAATTAATCTTTTTACACTTCTGCAGTCTGTAAGTCTAAGATCAAGGTGTCCACAGCGTTGTTTCTTCTGAGGCGTCTCTGTGTGACTTGCAGATGGACATGCTCTTCATGTGTATTCACGTGGTTTTCATCCACCCAAGAATCAGATATGCACAGAGATAAGACTATATGAAGACACAGGGAGAAATGTGAAGTTGTATCTTACTATAGTTTTGATTTGTATTTCCCAAAAGACTAATGATGTTGTATACTTTTCTTTTCTTTTCTTTTCTTTTTTTTTTGGAGAGGTTTTTTTGCTATAGGGCGCATGCGCTCGCCAGACAGAGAGAGACAGAGAGACAGAAAGTGAGAAATCACCCCCCCAGGGGGATGGTCACGCCGCAATCCCTTCTCCTCCATTCTCCTCTCAGGATCTTGGGCACGCACGCACACGCGCCCAGTGTGAGTTTTAAGCCACCGGGTCCGGGATGCGAACCGCGGTCAACTATGTGGGAGTCCAGCAACATAGCCATTACGCTATCTGCTGGTTCCCAATGTTGTATACTTTTCAATGGTTAATTGGCTATTGGTGTATATTTGGAGAAATATCTACTCAAATACGTTCCTAACATTAAAAATTTGTTTATCTTTTTGTTATTGAGCTGTAAAAGTTCTTTATATATTCTAGATAGTAGACCCTTTTCACACATGCAATAGCAAACATTTTCTCCTGTTCCATGGGTTATCTTTTCATTCTCTTATGTTATTTGAAGCACAAAAGTTCTTAATTTCTATTAATCCCAGTTTGTTTTTTTCTTTTGTTGCCTTTGTTTTAAATGTCATATCCAAGAAATGATTTCTTAATCTCAGGGCACAAAGATTTATACGTATATTTTCTTATAAGAGTTTTATAGTTTTATCTTTTATGTTTAGGTATATATCCACTTTTAATTGTTATTTGTGGTTGATGTAGGTTTCTATGTTTGTCCCTTTTTTCATAAGAATTCTTTATTTATTTTATTTATTCATTCATTTTTTTTTAAATTTTAACTTTACCAGAGAGAGACACATAGAAAGAGAGGGAGAGGGAAAGTGAGAAAGCAGGTCACCTAGTCTGGAACTCCAACCACAGTTGGCCATATGGGAGTGTCCAGCACCTTAACCACCACACCACCTGCTGATCCCATCTACCTTTGTTCTTTCACCTGTGTAACCTAGTTGTTTCAGCAGCATTTTTTGAAGAGATGGTTCCCATTAAATGGTCTTGGTATTGTTAAAATTGGCTGAACATAGATGCAAGGGTTTATTTCTGACTTTTTAATTTAATTTAGTTGACCTATATGCTTATGCTCATCTTTTTTTTTTTTTTTTTTTTTTTGAGATTT